TTAATGCTATTTTCAATTTTAAACTATTCCGATCTCACTATTAATATTGTGATTTTGGTTGCTCAAATATCTTTCCTTTTTATCACTTAAATCAATTCGCGATGAGTGGAACACAGAACTATGGAGGACATTTCCACCACGGACAAACACACATTAATAAGTAAATACTAATAAACTATTTTCTGTGCTCTTTTATTGGCAATGATTAAAGGTGTTTACAGTTAACGATCAACATTCTCTCCGTCCGTGCTGAACTTTTGTGATGGGTCCGTTACTGGTGGGCAATAGTTTCTATGAGTTGGCAATTTTTGATATATGTATTTCAATAGATAAACTCTGTGAAACCTTTTACCGATGGAGGATTTGTTAAGCATATGCAGGTGATTTTTTGTTCGAAGCCAAATGGAGCCATGCTCGATTTTCTCCATAGTTGTGCTAACATCATCCATTATTTCTTTATTCAAACGTGATAACGAATTTCTTCTTGATGTTTTTGACTTCACAACAAAGAAAAAGTTAGCCATGTTTCTCTCCATTTTAAATAAAATTTCTTTAATTCATGTACTCATTTTCAACCCCGTGATCATATAATAAAATATTTTTACGTAAACTAAAAAAATTTTCCACATTTTTAACTACGCATTCTCCAAAAAATTACTATTCAAAACATCATTTTTTCAAAATAATGATCATCAAACAAGGGTTTAGTCTACGACATTCTTACCACTATCATTTTTGCATAATGTTATATACGTTTTTTTTTTTTAACAAATTATTTATTTTTGATTAAATTTTGTGGATATGTAATGTTTAAATGAATTAATTTAACAAGAGCAATGCTGGAATGTAATGGTAATACAACCTTGCTACACTTCAATTTTTCCTTACACTTTTCTTTACATTTTTATACATGTTGACATCTACACTCTTGATTTTGAACTTGTCTATCGCATCATTGTACAAATTTCTTCTACATATCGAGAATATCAATAAAATTGTCATGGGTGATGTATATATAGCATTATTCATGGCAATAAATATATAGAAATAATCTAATGTTCAAGGTAGACATGAGTTATAATGTTCACTGTGGACGTGGCAACATGCAAACATCCATGGTTATGATGCCCACCATGCGCATTAAATCAAATCTGAATAAATATAATCCTTTTTAAATTTTAAAATTGTAATAATGATAGATTTAGAGTATGATATATATTTAAAAGTCGTGTGGATGTGTAGTATTTGGATGGATAAATTTAATAAGCATAATGCTGAAATGTAAAGAGAACGAATATAGTATTTTTTTATTTTTTATTTTTTTTGTAAAATTTAACAGGAGAGGTGGATAAAAAACAATTAAGTGATCT